AAAAATAGGCAGGATTCTGTGACTCGTTGGGTGGGGAAAGTAGGTATGAAAGAGTTTTAAGCTAGAGATATTAGGAGGAGCTGGCAGAAAGAGGGAAAGCTGATGGAGGGGCATCAGTTCAGGGGGAACTGACAAACTGATTTTAAGGCATTTTGAATTCCAAATATCAGGGCAATATTCAAGTGAAGATGCCCTGTGGGAAACTGGAAACCTTAGAGATGAATTCATTTATCCTCTTGACATGGCTGAGTGTCTGCTACGAGCCAACACTGGGCCAAAAGCTTCCTGGCACTGAAGCACTCCCTCAGGGAGCCCAGAACCATCAGAACACCCCTCCTCAATGTCCCCAGCCTTGACACTCAATCAAATAAATAGCTGGCCTGGCCTTGGCAGCCCCCACCACATTGAATGCCTTCCCCCCACCCGGAGATCCCACCCACCCTTCCTAGGACTGAAATAATGGACAGAAAGATCGAAAGCATGACAGGAACTATGTGACTTTATCTTAAGCACCGACAGCAAGGAGGGAAGGAAGATTCAGGAAAGGAAGGGAAGAGCAAGAGTTCAGGGAAGGGCAAGGTTAAGGGGTGGGGGCTGAGAGACGGTCCCCTTCATGGGTCAGACAGCCCAGAATCGTCCAACAGAATATATCCCTGTGCCTCTCCTCCCGATACCCTTTCTCAGCCTCAGGGAGGCAGGAGACAAGGAGGGAGAGTCCCACACAACAAGAAATGAGAAGTGGACAGCAGGGAAGATGGGCCAGGGTGAGATCAAGGGTTTACACCCCACCACCAGGGCCAGGCTGGAGAGAGAGCCAGCTGGGAACCTCGGGAGGACGAGAGCGCCAGAGGCTCGGTGTTTCATCAAACCCTGCCAGCTTCACACTTCTTAACCTGCTGCCACAAACTTCCATCCTACAGGATCTGATGCCACAGAAATGGGTGACTGAGACATCCCCCACCTACAACTCCGCCTGAGAGCGGCTGACACCTGCACAGGGACGATAACAAGTCAGAACCTACAGCAGCGTGGGGACCAGAACTCCCGCCCTACCAGCCAAGAGCACCCAGATGGCTGAGATGGTTCTTGCTTATTCACATCTCCAAGGATAAAGCCTACCTGAGCCTCCCTGTGGCCTGTCCCAGCCTTTACTGGAAGGGAGTCCATCTGGTGGTTTAATCTCAATCCCTTCTTAATCTAGTCTTCCGTCACTGACTTCAGGAAGACCTCCCTGGGGACAACCAAGCTGATGAAACACCTGTTTTGGTCCAGAGAAGTATTTGACATCTTGAACGTGGACACATGCGCTTGGACAAGGAGAAAATGCGAGCCTCCCAACAATGGGAAAGTAAGACTTCCACTCCGATGGGTATGGCATGAGGAGTTATCCCCCTCGTGACCCAAGGTCAGTGTTAGGACTGGGCACTAGCTCCCGACAGTGGTCCCAGAAGTAACGTGGTCACCAGCTCTGAACCCAGTCACCAAAGGAATCATTCAAGTTTTCCCAGGTCAGAAAAGAAGATCTGGGGTGCAGACCCCCCAAAGGCTCAGCGTCTCCCCAACCCGGTTCCAAAAGAACATATGGGTCAGGCTCTCCCAGACTCCTCTGGGAAGTGGGACCCGCCAAATGCAGCAGGACACAGAGATCCCTCCACCTGCCCAGGAGTCCAGCTCCAGGCTGCCTCCCCACCCACACTGACGGGCTACACGATCACGAACAATCCAGTCTCCCCGAATCTTTCTATTTGCCCTTTCAGTGTGAGGCCTCCTTTTACCCTGCCTTCTAACCAACAGTGTTCTGGAACCAGTTCACAGAGCCTGTTTGACACATTTCTAGCCGACCCTAAATGCAGTCACAGCCAGCCATGCCGGAAGATTTTACACCACCGAAACTGGCAAACCCTGTAAATGGGACTTTTGTTTCCTTCCGAGAGCTGGTTGTTAAACATTTACCCGCAAGCAATTGCCCCTAACTAAATTATACAAGAGGCGTATTGGAAATGAGGCAGTAGACCTCAGCTAAAAGTATTCTCCTTGGCCTCCCCTCAGGGCAGGGAGGGTCCCTCCAGCTTGGTGTTCTGGGGGCCAGGAGAGAACAAAGTGGGTTATGGTCCTGGGTGTCTCGGTCTATTTCCTGGATGTACCAGTCTCTCCCCTCCCCCAGCTGGGAACACCCCAAGAACAGGCCTCTCCCTTTCATTAACAGAGTCCCCCTGAGGGACCACAACCAGGGACATTTGTCATGCAAACGAGCTGGATCCTGAATGGTGAGATCCATTTGGGGCACTCACTGCCCCAAATGTGATGGGGGGCGGGAAGTGGGGGGCAGATGACCCACACCTGAAACTTGGCATTTCAACCTCATTAGTCCGCCTCTGGATCACGCGGTCTGCGCAGTAATCTCCTCCATGGCAGGGTCTCCCCACGCCACATCACCATGACTTTCATCTCCCCATATTAAAGAGAAGCAGAGATTCTCCCGAGGCTCAGGACGGGGTGTCCCAGCAATTCAGACACCACAAATGGTTGAAGGTTGTACAGGGCTCAGCCTGCACAACCATACATGTTAGTCCTGCCCAGCCACTAAAACCTCAGAGCTGTGTGCCCTTCTGTTACCATCTCTAGGGATCAGAATCCCCAGACAAAAGAGGCTTTGTTAATATATGCCTGGCATCCTTCCCACTGCCATGTCTAGGAGGCAGGTGTCCTATGCCCCTCACCTTGCTGCAGCACCAGGACTCAGCCCCAGCCCGGCTGTGTCTAGCAATGTCATCAGAGTTAGCCTAGATCTCAGTCACAGTGCAGCCCATGTTCAGGTCCCGGCTGTTATCCAGTTTGGTGATGACTGAGGTGTCTGAGACGCGGGCTTCGGTGACTCTCATTTCCTGTGGGGCCGACAGCCATTCATATCACCTGTACCATCGAGAGCCAGGTAGAACAGAGCTCACATTCCCCCTTCACACACACACACACACACACACACACACACACACACACAGAGCCACCATTTCAAAGACTTCATGCCTGCAGACCCCTCTGTCCGCTTCCTCTGTTCAAAGTCTGGCCTGGGACAGAGTGAAGATGGATGACTAATGTCCTCCCTGCCAGTGCTCACCTCCCCCCCTACGGTGTTCTGGAAGCTGATCTCCTCCACCAGGCCATCAGCATCGGCCTCCTGGTCTCCCTTGCGCACGTAGGCACAATTAAGCTCCTGGAAACAACGCACAGGCAGTGGCTAGTTGTTGCAGAGATTTTCCAGGGGACTCTGCCTCCCCCAGGCCAACCCTGGGAAATTTCCAATCCCATTTTCAACCCTACAGAGCCAGTCATGGGCATAGATCCAGAAGTCAAGGGTTGGGGAACTAAGCTCTCCCTCTCACTCTAGCAAAACGTAGTATGTGACTTTGGGGAATTCTTTTATCTCGCTGGGCCTCTCTGTAAAGGAAGATCCAGAGAATCTCTGCCCTGTGGGTCTCCCAGGGTATAAGGAAGAAAATGCCTTTCCATGGGTAGAAATAAAATATGAGCTTATTAACTGACAGATGGAGTACTGGATGCCCCTGAGGGCTGCTGCACGCAAACCCACTCACCGGCTTGATTCTGACAAGCTCATTCTCCGCAGTGGTCCCCAAAGTGACCTCCTCTTCCTACCTCCACAGGGAAAGGGGTTTGGATCAAGAGAAATTATCAGAGATTTGGCTAGTAGTGGAAGGAAGCAGAGAGGACCCCAACATGACCTATCACCTCCCCGCCCCCAGGATGTCTGAAACATCCCTTTGACCCACATCTCTGATAGTACTTAACTTAAATGAGCATTACTCATTCTAAAGAGCTTGGTTTTGTTATTACTCTAATAGAATAAACTGACTGCCCAAGCTTCGATCCAGGACGGTGGGTGGAATTAGCGACATGCACCAATGCGTGTGAACGGTGGAGAAGAGGTGACGTCATTTCTTTGCACCCCTAGTAGCTAGCATAATTTTGGAATAGAGTTAAGCGCTCAGAACAGGTCCACAGGGTGGGTGGACGAAGTAAGGATAGGGCCCCTATCTTACGTTCATAAGGCAATGGGGAGAGGCTCTTAGCTGATATTTCAGCTTCTCTCCCCTTCCTGTGTCTGCCTGTCACTGCCTCTAATGCTGATAAAAGCACAAAGTGGGTTCACGAAGGAAGAAGTTCCCAAGGCCAGACCTTCCCCCCCACCGACTCGATTCTTGTAGCCCCAGCACCTCCTGCACGTGGTTAGGGCAGGGGACAGCTGTGATGCAGCAGGGTCACAGGCCAAGGTGCAGGTGAAGGTGTAGCCAGAACTGTCTCTTCAAGTGATCAGGCAGGAGCTGGATTTGAGGACCTCATTAGGGGAGCTAAAGCAAGATGATCCACAGGTTATGGTGAGCTAGGCTAGAAGAGTTAAGGCCAGAGGGAGAGGAGAAGGATTCTGACCCCTCCTTCACTGCCCCTCCCTTTTATAAACGCGGCCCGGCCACGTGGAGTGGCCATTTTGTCACCTGATCGGGCTTGGGAGACTTTGCAGCCATTTCTCCTCTTTCCCGGGGTCATGATATCGAGCTCCACACTGGGCTCCGCGCTGAGCATGGAAGCGGCTAAAAATTCTATCACCCCCTCTGCCCTTTCACTTTCTCCCCCCTCCCCCGCCGTCTCCCTCCCTCTCTCAAAATAAATAAGGGGCACCTGGGGGGCTCAGTTAGTCAAGGTCCAACTTCAGCTCAGGTCCCGATCTCCTGGTTCGTGGGTTGGAGCCCCTCATCGGGCTCTGTGCTGACAGCTCAGAGCCTGGAGCCCGCTTCGGATTCTGTGGTCTCCCTCTGTCTCTCTGCCCCTCCCCCGCTCGCACTCTGTGTCTCTCTCTCTCTCTCTCTCTAAAATAAATAAGCATTGAAAAAAACTTTTTTAATAAATAAATTAAATAAATCCTCCATGCTTCAGGGTAACTCCGTTTCTTCTTGTGAGGGAGACACCAAGGGAAGACGTGTCCAATACTACCATTCCCTGGAGAAAATTGGAGTAGAACTACCTGTACCGAAGCCGTCAGTAACACTACTGGCAACCCTAGCTAAAGCTGGGAGTGGAAGCATAAGACACTGGAGTGGGACCCCCACCCCCACCCCACCCCACCCCCCACCCAGAGGACAGCTCTAAGGTTAGGCAGAAGCCCTGCAAAGTCAAGGCTAGACCAAAGGGATTCAGACCCACAAGAGTGTTGGGAAAGACAGCAGAGGGGGCAGAGGGGCACTCTCTAAAAATGGGTTGCCAGACAGCCCAACACCAGTCAGAGCTGGCCAGGAACACCTCTTGGGTTCCAGGATTTAATTACCCTTTGCATAATAACAACTTATATTTAAAAGCAAAGGAAGCTAAGGATGATTTGCATGCTTTTCTTTAATGCTGCCTGCTGAGTTCACATTCTAGTTTCCCCTGCCCATAATTGGACGTATAATTAACTTCCATTATAATGGGCTATGGCTTTCTAGAATTGGTGGCCATGACCAAGCCCCAGTTGAGGGGAAGGCTTTGGATTGGGCCTATTTTTCTAAGAGCCCAAAGCCTAGAAGCCTGGGCTCTCTCCTAGGAGAAGAACTCAACCCTCACTGAGCCCCCAAAGACTCAGACCTCCAAGGGGCTGGCATGGAGGAGGGCTGGAAGCCTCCTTTCAGATTCTGAATCCCCTCCTCCATAGAGCTTTCTGCGCTTGACCTTAAGCCACTGGACCACTCTGAGCTCACCTTCCCAATCAGGTAAATGGGCACAATAATACTGACCTTGGAAGGATGCCCGAGGGTAAAGATAAGAAAATGCATCATAAAGCCCTCACACACTGGAGGCACTCCTTTAATGCAACTGCCTGAACAGACCCCCAGGAGAGTGGAGAGGGGTACAGGAAGCAATGTGGGGGGGACTAGGGAGTGGGGGCCCCACACTTACTAGGAAAGGAGCCATGAGCTGAGTTCTGAGCAACAGAGAAGGGAAAGTTTTTGCCCAAAGGGACATAGGATGAATGGCACAATAACAATGGTAGAATAAACAGAACAAGCAAATAAACAAACGTTTATGGAGCTCTTATTAAGTGCTAGGTAGGGCCCTAAACGCTTTCCTGTCCATTACCTCCTTAGGTCCTCCCAAGAGCTTGCAGATGGGTACTATTTATTACTCCTAACTCGCACAAGAGGAAACTGAGGCTCCGAAAGGTTATTCACTTGTCCAAAGTCATGACAAGAATCTGTAAGACCGGCTTCAGAGACCCCTCCCCTTCGACGCACACACTCGCTCCCCCACTCCGTGGTGCACACGAGACCAAGGCTAAGCCGGCCCCCGCAGGGCGGTGGCGCCCGGCTGGGACCCCAGCCGCGCGGGGTGTGCCCAGCTGACCAGCCCCGGAATGGAGCCGGTGACGATCCAGCGCCTCCGGGGCCCAGTCCCGGCCGAGGGGCGCAGAGGGGGGCGCCCCGAGGCCGCGGCGCACGGCCCGCAAAGGTGACCAGGCGTTTCCCTGCCCCATAAAGCTCGGGCGGGAGGTGAAGCCGTTTTATGGAGGCGGACGGCGGCCCGGCCCGCTTTGATTCCCGCCTCGACGAGGCGCGCGGGCCAACCTCCAAGCTCGTAAACGCGTTGGCC